GCCTGGTCTCAGTCTCCCTTTCTGAAAAATCAGTCCTAAGGCATAGTTCCAAGTCCAGGGTCCACTGTCCTACCCTGGGCACCGCGTCCCTTGCCAGACAACCAATCTCATGATATAAATGCAATGTGCCTGGAGACCACGGTTCCTGCTCTCTGCCCAGCATGGCCTCTCTTCGAATAGGGAGGTGGGTGGAGGAGAGGAGGGATGTCCACAGGACTATGCACGTACCTGCACGTGTGAGCACAGCATGCTGAAGGGGAAACTGGGGGAAGGGCCACTGGTGTAACCCTGGACCTGGGAACAGTGGTAGCAATCTCTGGGCCCACATTTAGCCACACATCCTGGAAATAGAGAGAGATCCTATATGTGGAGAAAGATCTGGAGAGGGACTTCTAGGATCCCAGGAGGGATCCCCAGTCTCCTGCAGACATGTGCCCATGTAAGCATTCAGAGCTGTGCTTGTCCAGGTGTGTGCCTACCCAAGTGTTCTTAGCATATGTGTGTGTTCCCAAGAGTTCCCAAGGCCCGCAAATGTTCTTTTTAGGTGATCTGTACGTAGCTAAGCACATGGCCTAGATGCAAATTTCCATGTGAGTCAAGGGATTCAGGACGCAGAAGGGGTGTGCCCAGGACAACTGCCCAGCTGCTGGGTACTGGGGGGAGATGGCTTGGGTCGGGGCAGAAGGAAGCTTACCAGAAGCCAAAGTCCCTTTACCGCCATCACCACCCTCTCTACCTTCCCCCACCCGCCAGCATCAGGGGAGTGAACATGAACTGAAATCTGAGAGGGTCCGGGTCTCTGTGCCTGCCAGGTCTGACCTCTGGTTCCACCCTGGCTCCCTAACCCTACAGCAATGTCCTAGTGGTGCCCCCCCAGTCCTCACCCAGGTGCCCCCCTGGGCAGGCACAGCATTGCAAACCACCCAGGAAAGGTCAGGATGCTGGGGCCCAGAGCTCTGTGCTGCTGCCGCACTCTCTGGGCCTCTGCAGACTGCCTGGCCCATTCATCTCCCTGCGGCCACGGCTGCCATGCCGCCTCCTGGTATCGAGCTGGGAGATGAGAAGGTGTGAAGGATATGGGTGCGCCAGGGACCAGCTGGCAGACAAGATGGATGAGGGGCCAGCGGAGGCCAGCAGGAGCCTGGGGCAGGAAAGCAGGCCAGTTAGGGAGGGGCGCAGGATGGCTTGCCTTGCATAGTGTGCATGTGTTCACGTGCCGGGCTGTGTGCCCCGTGTGGACAGACTACACACACATAAAAGCTCCATCCACTGTCCTGCCATGGCTGGGCCTCTGAGTTCATGAGTGTGCTTGTAGGCATGTGAGTTAGCATGTCTATGCTCACGTGTGTGTTTCCCATCACATGTATCAAAGGCAAGCACACACATGTCAAGACCCAACAGAAGCCCAGGCTGGCCCACTTCTGGAGGAGGAACTGCAGACTGGGAAGAACCCCCAAGCCTCTCCTTTACTCTCCTCCTCCTCCCTCGCACCACACTGAATCCTGGGGCAGGAGCGCTGGGGCACACCTGGCTGGAGTTCCCTGGGAGACTCTGGCACCCTTACTTGCCTGACTGAGAGCTCCAGAGCCAACGTCAATGTCTTTCACACCGTGGAGTATGGATTTGTGCAGGGTGGGATCCTCCCTCATCCGTGTGTGTGTGTGTGTGTGTGTGTGTGTGTGTGTGTGTGTGTCCGCGCGTCCATCCGTCCGTCCAGCTTCAGGCTGGAATCTGAGGCTGAGGGCATGGAATGAGTGGCAGGGAGAGGCAGGACATTCCTGCCTGAGTGCACTACCCCCAGAGAAAAGCACCCCTCCAGCCGTGGGTTTGGGTCCTGCCCATTTGCCCCTGGCAGAGACCGTGGCTTCTATGAACCGAGCCTAGCGCCAGACTCTAAGGAAGCCTAGGTATTCCCTCCCAGGGTGGGCTGAGGTGGCCTGGCCAGGTGAATTCTGTGGGCCATTTAGTACAGGCCACTAGTCAAGGGGTGCCCTCAGCTAAGGAAGTGTGGGCTTAGAGGAAGCCCCACCCCTGGACAGTGACTAGGTTTCCCTCAGGACAGATAGGGAAGCTTGGAGGAGGTGCCTGGCAAGGCTGGAGAGGGACCAGTGGGTCGAGTGGATGCACAACCTGCCTCAGTTTACCCTAATGAAGATGACAGGTGACCATCAGGTGAGGATATGACCCCTGCTGTGCCGTTCTCAGCTAAGGCTGGATCACCCCAGACAAAGTTGATTATTCACTGAAGCCAGGGAAACTGAGGCAATCAGGACTGGTGGGAGGATCTGAATATCTTACTACCCAATCTGGAGCTCTCCCCGCCCCTCTTGTGTTTCCTGCTTGTCTCTTGCCCCATGCAATACCAGTAGGCTGGGTCCCAGGCTAGGAGGGAGGGCATCACCTCTGCACTTAGCCCTCATCAGCTGCCTCCCCTTCAGCCCTTCCATCTAGCCAGATCCTGGCTGGCCCCCCGTGGACACCAGGCTGTCCTCAAGATGGCACCCCACCCCCACCTGCACTGGGCCCATTGATCAGGAATAGCTGGGGGGCTCTTAGCTGGAGAAGAGAGAGGGAAGCTTTGCAACGTCACAACCTCCCACCTGCCCCCTTCCACATGCGCCTGCCCCTGGAGCTAAGCCCAGCCAGTGGCCCAGCTCCAGACGCTACGATCAGAGGTGGTTTGGAGACGCTCCCCTCACCCCCAGACATCCCAGAGCCAGACTTTATGAACATCCAGACCAAGTGCCAGCTCAGGAGGACAAGCCTTGGCCAGGGACGTGGACAGTCGAGGAGTGAAGGACAGTCCTGGAACTGGGGACTTGGGCACGCTTGCGAGTGAAGTGTGCTGCTGAGCACCCCTCCCTGGGTGAGGCTGCATCCCAGCCTGAGCAGAGATCCGCATGGCAGGTCGGTATGGTTCAGGCAGCAGAGGTGGTCTCCTAAGTGGATGGGGTTCCGGGACTTGGGCAACTGGATGGGGGGCTCCCTAAGCTACGGCCTCAGATCCAGCCGATCTTTCCCAAAGGTCTCCACCCCCTGCCGCGATCCCAGGATCTTGTAACATGTCAGTCTTCATGGGTCAGGGGCAGTCAGGGCTGCGGCAAATTCCTGTCCTCACTGCTCTGTAAGCAGTCCAGGGGCACTGCCTACCCGGTGTCATGTTAGACACCTCTAGCCACCTGTCTGTTTTATTGTTTATAATTATTGTTTCCTGCACATATATGCATGCTAGTGTGCATGGTAGGGTGGGGCAGCCGTAGAACTCCTGCGGGGGTCAGAGGACAACTTTTGTGGAGTCGGTTGGTTCTCTCTTTCCAGCTTGGTTGGTTCTGGGAACGACACTCAGGTCATCTGGCTTTCATGGCAACCATCTCCCCTGCTGAACCATCTCACCAGCCCTCCATCTCTCTTCATCTGTCTGTCCAGCAGCCTCCTTTGCTCAGGCTTACCTGGTGGCACTGTTGGGAATGGAGACCTGGCCTCCTGCCTCCCGGCCATCATGGATTCTGTGGGTCCTCCTGCCCCCTGACTGGAATGGTGCTCACTGGTTTTTGTTTCCGCATCGAACAGAGGTCTCACGTAGCCGAGGCTGACCTTGAATTCTGTATATAGCTGACAGCACCTTCAGCTCCCAAGCATTGGGAGTACAAGTGTGCACCCACCACATCTGGCTCAAAATAACCTGCTTTAAAATCCAGTGTGGGCATTGAAAACAAGTCCCCATACTTGCTAGGCAAGTGCTCAATTGCTGAGCTATATCCCCAGCAAAACCTTTAAATTGTGGCAAGGATATATAATGTAAAATTTACTGTATTGACCATGTTTGAGCATACGGCATTAGGTATTAGGACATTCATGGCTGTGTATCCCTCACCACAGTCGGCTTATATCTCTTTGCATCTTATAGAGCCGAAACTCTCTCATCCCCACTGAACATTCTCGTCCTCCTGGGCCCTGGCAGCCACCACTGAACTTTGTGTTTCTATAACTTTTTACCTTCTCTGAGTAGAATTACAGAGTTTGGCCCTGTGCTTCTGGCTTCTGGTTTATCTCACTGAGCAGAATGTTCACACACACACACACACAAACACACACACACACACACACACACACACACACAGCCTCAGAAAGTCCTTTCCTTTGCAGGGTGAATAGTAGCCCACTGTGAGCTATTATTTATCTACTCATCTGTCAGTGGACACTCAATTGCTTCTGCCTTTTGGCTATGGCAAGCCATGCTGCCCAGAGGTGGGTGGGCAGACACCTTTGTGTGGGCTCCTGTTTTGGTGACTCCATGTTTAGTTTTGCAAGAAGCCTCTGATTTCCGCAAAGGCTGCACAGTTTTAAATTCCCACCAACCCTAGGATTCCAGTTTCTCCATAATTTCAGCCACACTTGTTAAATTCCGGCTTCTTCTCTTGTCCTAGCAGCCATCCTGATGGCTGGACCTGGTGTCTTACTGAGAATAGCATCACTGTTTATTTATTTGTAGGTTTTGAATCAGAGTCCTATCCATTCTGTTTGCTTGTTAATTTTCTTTTTATTTATTTATTTATTTATTTATTTTGAGACAGGGTCTCATGTGGTCAAGGCTGGCCTCAAACTCACTATATAGCTAGGAAGAGCCTTGAACTTCTGATCCTCCTGCCTCTACCTCTCAAGTCCTACCATTACAGGCATGTACTACCATGTTGCTGTGTTTTTAATGTAGTCCTGGGGATCAAACCCAGCGTTTTGCGCACACTAGGCAGCAAGCAATCTAGCAGCTGAGCTGTGCCCCAGCCCATCGCCATTATTTTATGTTGATATTTATCCTAATGCCATGAGTTGTATGCTTAAACATGGTTAACACTGTAAATTTTTGTACATTATGTATACTCCAGCCCAATTTAAAGGTTTTGATGGGGATATCGCTCAGGTTTCAGGTCTAAGGAAGATCATTTAGATAATTCGGATGAACTGAGATCCTCCCCCCCCCCCATCAGCCCCCTTCCCCGTAAACAACACTAGGCAGCTGGGGTTCCACAGACTTTCTAAGCTCCTGTTGCCCTTCCTCAATTTTACACCATCTGTAAACACGTCACCTACGTACGGAGAGTCTCCTATGTGTCACACTCGGCTCTCCACACCAATGTGCATGTCTGCCCTAGGAGACAGGGAACCTGGGGGTCCAAGAGCTGAGACAACTCGGCCAAGGCCATGCAGCTCTTGTCTCTGCTCTCCAGAATCTTCTGGGGAAAGACTTTACATCAGGAACAGTGACTGTAATCCCAGCACTTGGAAAGCTGAGGCAGGAGGAGTCCCTCTAGCTTGTGGCTAGCCTTGGCTCCCGAATGCTACCATGCCTCAAACTCCCATCCAGATACACATGGTTGTAACCCTAGGCCTGGGAAGCAGAGGCAAGAGGCTCCAAAGTTCAAGGATATCTTCAGTTACATATTGAGTTTGAGGCCAGCCTGGGCTACATGAGACTGTGTCTCAGAAAAAAAAAAAAAAAAGGTTCACTGTAACTGAATATGGGGTGATGTTTTATGACAAAATTGGGAACAGAAGCCTGGAAGGGAGGGAGGCCTTCCAGAAGAAGAGGTGTGTGGATACTACCTGAAAGATAAGGCTGAATGGACAGTGAGTCAGGCCGGCAAGGTCAGGGCTCACAGATTCACCCTCTCTCCACAGTCTTCCTGTCTGCTGGCCTAGGGGTACTTGCTCCCCCAGAGACCTACCCCCCACCTGTGACCGGTGCCAGCTGGGAGCCCCAGCTGGGGATGTCCTTCCCATCAGGTTCCTGCACCATGCCCACAGAAGGCCAAGCCATGGTGGAGCCCACTGGGCAGGGCCCCAAGAACCCACGTGTGTCCGGTGTGATGGTACAGTTGGAGATGAAGCCACTGTGGGAAGAATTCAACCAGCTGGGCACAGAAATGATTGTCACCAAAGCGGGCAGGTGTGGGCATGGACAGCGGGGGCTGGGCAGGGGTGGGGGCCACAGCCAGGCTGAGCACCTCCCTCCCACAGGAGGATGTTCCCCACCTTCCAGGTGAAGATCTTGGGCATGGACACATTGGCTGACTATGCTCTGCTCATGGACTTCATCCCGCTGGATGACAAGAGATACAGGTCTGGGCCCCGGGGGTGGGGGGTGGTCCTGAGGACAGGAACTGGACCCCAAGGGTGGGCAGGGTGATGTGGAATCCTTCTGAGTTCATGCCTGGGAGGCCTAGCCTGGAGCAATAGCCTTTAGGCAGAAGGAAGCCCAGCACAGAGGGGTGGGCTAGCCTGAGGCAGGCACAGACATGTACACATGCAGAATTAATTCCAAAACGAAAGATGCTCACCAGGCAGCCTGAGCATGCTGGGTCAGGATCAGCCTCTTCACCATTCTCTTGGCCAGACTTGGCACTGAGCAGGACAGGGACAGCCCTTGACCCCTCACTATGCTCCCCCAGGTACGCCTTCCACAGTTCTGCCTGGCTGGTGGCCGGCAAGGCCGACCCCGCCACACCTGGCAGAGTGCACTTCCACCCTGACTCGCCAGCCAAGGGTGCCCAGTGGATGCGTCAGATCGTGTCCTTCGACAAACTCAAGCTGACCAACAACCTGATGGATGACAACGGCCATGTGAGGCACAAGCCACGTAGCCATTGGGGAGGGGCTGAGCGATTGTAGCAGGCTGGCACTCTGACTGGGATGAAGCCTGGAGCTGGGGCTGGCAGGGCTGACATATTTGAATGGGTATCAGAAGGAAGAGGGGGAGGAAGGTATGGGAGGAGGCTGTTTGAAGCCCAGGGGACAGCCTGAGCAAGGTCCTGAGGCCAGAAAATATGGAGTGAGTTGGGAGGCTGCCAGGAGATTCCAGTGGGGCTGAAGGGAAGACAGGGAGGTGGTGGGGAGGCTCTCACACGGGGCCAGGTGAGAACCCTGGCTCTTCCTCCCCGTGGATGGAGCTCCAGAGGGTTTAGAGCAGGTGTGCGTGTCTCGCCCAGCTGCTGTGTGGAAACCGGGCAGGACAAGATGGGGAGGCAGGGAGGCCAGGCAGGATACAGCTGAAAGATGTCGGGGCTGGCTAACATGGGGGTAGGTTGGAGCGGTAACCAGAGTCTACGTAGTTGTGAAGGGAGAGCAGAGATGGGCCATGGGCAAGAAGGGGCAGAAGAATCGTGGGCCCAGGGAGGGTGGCTGCAGGCTGTAGCCCTGCACTCGACTCCCACCCTCCTACAGATCATTCTCAACTCCATGCACCGGTACCAGCCCCGTTTCCATGTGGTCTTCGTGGACCCACGCAAGGACAGCGCCCGCTACGCCCAGGAAAACTTCAAGTCCTTTGTTTTCACGGAGACCCAGTTCACAGCTGTGACAGCCTATCAGAACCACCGGGTGGGTCATACCAGAGCTCATGAGGGCCAGCCCATCTCTGAGTGGTGGAGACTGAGGCTGGGGGTTCCTCCTGTCCCCTGGACATCTGCCTTCGTGTTGGCTCTGGAGGCCCTAGGCCAAGGGGGTCTGGGTCCTGCTGACTGGGAGTTCCCAGGGGACAGAGTGGCTAAGTCAGGGCCCAATGGCTGGAGGCCAGCCCACAACTATACTTTCTCTCTGTAGATCACACAGCTGAAAATTGCCAGCAACCCCTTTGCCAAAGGCTTCAGAGAGAGTGACACGGACTCATGGTACAACCTCACCCCCTAACTTAAGCCCAGCCCTGGTTCCACCCAAGCAGCTCCAAAGGCCTTCACTCCTGACTTGTTTCACGGTTATGTCCTCTGGCTTGCCCCTGGGCTCCCCCATCTGACTCTGACCACAATGTCTGGGGTGGGGGTTCCCCTTGGCCTCCTACCTGATTCCTGCTTGCCATATCTTCAGGCCTGTGTCCCCAAGGCCGCTGCTCAGCATCTCAGCCCGGAGTCGTAGCAGTCTCGGTCCTTGCCTGCTTAAGGGTTCTGCAGAACGAGAGAAAGGTGAGAACCCAGCCCAAACACAAGGACAGGGACACACAGGCCTCTAGGAAGGGGCTTCACCGTGATCAGCAATATCCCCACCTAGGCAGAAAGGCCCAGGGAAGAGAGAGCAGGGCAGGGACATGGTATAGAACACAGTTGGGGTGCCTGGTAGGCTTCCTGGAGGAAGCAGATCCTGAGTTGGACATTGGAGATGGAAGCCCAGCGTGGGACTGGGAGAGGGTATTGGGATAGAGGAGAAGGTAAGGAAGAAAGTCCAGGCAGAAAAGAAAACAAGGAGAAATACTGAAGCAGGCCAAGATGGGCGACCAGGGACAAGTAGGCCTCAGTATTAGGACCGGGAATGTGAGGGAAAACTGGGGTCCTCTGAAACCATTTTCTCCCTCAGAAGCCAGTAAAAATTCAGCTTCCAGCTCCAGGACCCCTACCCAGCCGCACCATCAGCTGCTGCCTGCCTCAGAAGTCCTGCTGGCCCCTGCCACCTACGGGCCCCTCCCTTACCAGGACCTGTACCCTGGAGCCCCTGGCCACGTTGGAATCCCAAGGGCTCGGCTGGCACCGTACCCTCTCCCCAACATCGGCACTGATGGAGATCAGGAGGACCCAACCCTCCCAGGCAGACTGGGGCTCCTGCCCTCCTCTGCCTTGTGCTTGGGGCCTAGCCAGGGCTCCCAGTGATGGCCAAGTGCTTTGGATGCCCTTTTACCCTGTGCCCACCTCTCCTACCCTCCTCTCTAGAGACATCTTCCACGGAGAGCAGGGCAACTGTAAGCCCTGATGGCAGCGGTTCCTGCCTCAAAGCCAGTCTGGAGCCTGCCAGTCTTGGAAGCAGGACTCCTACCCAGAAGCCCTGAATTCTGCCCCCCTGCCTCAAAGATGACTCCTCTAAATCCTGCTTCGATTGTCCTTCCCCCCGCATTAAACTGCTTGACACCAGAGGTCAAAGCACTTCTGTTCACCCACAGGAACTCCCAGACCAGATAATCCCATCACTTTTGTAGGAATCCAAAAGCTGGGCCCAGGAGCACAGGGTGATGGTAACAGTGATGACACCAGCAAGGCTGTGCTTAGCCTGGTGTGTCCCCCACTTTGTGCACCCATATAAGGACGTAACTGGCTCAGAGAGGCGTCTGCTCACAGTCACACAGCAAAATACCGCTGACACCCATCACTCCATTTAAATGATGTGCTCCAAGGCTGGTCCTGAAGGCTAGAGGCCATCAAGGGGTGCTTAATATGATAGGTAGGGATCACACAGGCCAGGGGAGGGACGGGTGTAGACTCGGAGAGCCAATCAAGGCCCGAGGGAAAAGTCCAGGTGGACAGGGGCTGGAGTCCTGCTCGGCAGAGGCTGGTGGGATAAGGCTGGGGCAGGCGCGTATCCTTCATCCTCTTGGAGTGGGCGCCCCAGGACCCGGAGGATCCGACTCTGCTTAACCCAGAGCTCTTCCTGTGAGACCTTCTGGAAAGCACCGACACCCACAGGGGCGAGAGACAAGGAGCCCAGCAGATCTTCAGGAGCCAGACATCTCACCACCCCCCGAACCTGAAGTCAGGACCCACTCAATTCAGGTCACCCAAGTGTTCTGGAAACACAAAGATCAAAACAACACCGCAGCTTTGATAGGGAAGTCAAACTGGCCCGCTTTTCTGGACACAGCTCCACTAGCTCTATGCCCGGTGGAAACCCTCAGGTGGCGCTCTGGTTCCGGTACGCAAAACCTCGTCTGCCCTCGCCTAGCAAGCCCCGCCCCAATCAACCTCCGCTGCCCAATAGCAGCAAACCCCGCCTTCACGCCCCCGGTATGCCCCGCCCCCAAAGCCTCCGAGACTGCCCCAGCCGGCTTCGTGTGGGACGCCTCCGAGGTCCCGCCCCAGCAGACACTGCCTTGCCCGCCTCCGAGGCCCTGCTCCTCCGCCAGGCCCGGTCCCCTCGGCCTCTGAGGCCTTGCTCCGTCGGTCCCCGGCCGGCCCGCCTCCGATACCCGCCTCCGGAAAGCTCCGCCCCGCCCCCCGAGGCCCCGCCCCGCTCCCGAGGCCCCGCCCCAGCAGGAGCCCAGGCTTCCGACCGCCCCTGAGGCTCCGCCCCTCAGTCCCCAGCAACACCCCCTGCCGACTCTCGCTTAAGTCCCGCTCCGCGCCTGAGCCTCCGCGCCGCCGCGACTCCTCCCTCGGTGCCCGGCACCCTCCATGTCCCGGGCGTCTGGGACATGCTACCTGATTGCTTGTCCGCCGAGGGCGAGCGGCGCTGCCGGCAGCTGCTAGCGGGGACCACTGCCCGGCTGCGCTCGCGGCCTGCGGCGGCCGCGGTGCTCGTGCCGCTGTGCCTGGTGCGCGGTGTCCCGGCGCTGCTCTACACGCTGCGCTCCAGACGCCTGGTCGGGAAGCACAAGGGGGAAGTCAGGTACGGGCGCACCACCTGCGGCCCGCACAGCCCGCCCAATTTTCCCCTCCAAAAACTGGACTCTGCCCCTTACCGGAGCCTGGAGAGAGGCCGTCTGGGGCTCCCCTTGAGGACACCCCAGGGTCAATATCTGTGCCGCTGGGACACCATAGGCAGACTTGGGGTGTCTGAGCAGCAGGATACTCTTACCCTGCTGTCGACCCTCATGTCCTAACTTGCATTTCCAGTGCCTGTCGTCCTCTCCTCCCCGCTCCCCACTTACTCTAATGATTCAGGGAGGTAAACTGCCTCCTGAAGGCCTGTGGTTCTAAGACACCCTTTGCCCATTCAGTTTCCCAGGTGGTAAGTGTGATCCCGACGACCAAGATGTAATACATACGGCCCTTCGGGAGACCCGAGAGGAGCTGGGCCTAGAGGTGCCCAAGGAGCACGTGTGGGGTGTCCTGCAGCCTGTGTATGACCGGGTGAGCCACCCTCATCCTGTCACACTCTGTGCCCCAAGTGAAGGGGTGAGCCAGCCCTGCTCAGGGTCCGGGAAGGCTTGCAGGGTAGGCTGCATTGATCTGGGCTTGAAAGTCAAGTGGGAGATTTTAGGGTCGTAAGGGAAGGAGATTGTAAACACTTCAAACATGTGAGTCAGTCAGCATGGCGAGAAGCCAAGGAAGAGGATTGGAGGGCTTGGCCATGACTGCCCAAGGCCTCTGGATGGCAGAGTGAGGTCTGCCTCTCAGCTTTGCATCACCTGACTGCTCACTCTCCTCCTACCCTAGAGAAAGGCCACCGTAGTCCCTGTGCTTGCCAACGTGGGCCCACTGGATCTGCAGAACCTCAGGCCCAACCCTGAGGAGGTGAATGGGGGGGGGGGTTACTGAGGAGCTGGGATGTCCTACCAGGGGGACTCAGAGGCAGCCCTCTGCCCACCCTCTCTTTGTCTCTTGCCCACAGGTGGATGAGGTATTTGAGCTGTCTCTGGCCCATCTGCTGCAGACCCAGAACCAGGGGTATACCCACTTCTGCCAGGGTGGCCACTTCCGCTACACAATGCCTGTCTTCTTGCATGGACCACACCGTGTCTGGGGCCTCACAGCTGTCATCACTGAGTTCACCCTGAAGTTGCTGGCCCCTGGCATCTACCAGCCCTGCCTAGCTGTCCCCGAGATGCCTAGGAGTTGAGGTCTGGCCTTTAGGGGCCTCTGCCTTCATTTGAGCAGGCTACTCCAGAGCCAATTAAAAGACTCTTTGACAACTTTACCTTAGCATCTTCTGTGTGGAACTGGGGGAACAAGCAGGGCGGGGTGACACACCCTTGTAATCCCAGCACTGGGGAAACAGATAGGTGGATCTCTTGGGGCTGCTGGCCAGCCAGGATAGGCTACTTGGAGAGACCCAGACCAATGAAAGACTCTGTTTCAAAAGAAAAAAAAAAGAGAGAGAGAGAGAGCGAGCTGCTGAAATAGCTGGGTGGGTAAGGGCACCTGCCCCAAGGCCTGACAACCAGTATTTGATCTTTGGGACCCACACGGCGGAAGGAGAGAACCAACCCCTGCAAGTTATCTTCTGACCACTCCCTGCACGCTCACATCTGTGCATGTGTATACACACACAAAATAAATATTAAGTGAGAGAAGCGGAGTGTGGGGCACAGCCCTGTAATGCCTGCACGCTGGAGGAGAGCTGGGGGTGGGGAATTCAAGGCCCCTTGTACTTGTGTTACATAGTGAGACTTTGTCTCAGAAACCAATAGGCTGCTGGGTAGCAGAAGGGGAAGGGGTTGCTGGGGAGCTACTGTCAGTGAGATCCCCTGGCAGGAACACCTCAAAAAAGTGACCAATGGCCAGGGCAAAGGCCAGCCTAGGTAGAGGGTGCTGCCTGGAAGGTGGAAGGGAAGAGCCATATGGAGATGGAGAGATAGGCCAGTTCCACCACACAGAGGGCCACCATAAGGCCAAGCGGACAGACTTGGGAGACAAAGGGACATGACTGCTTTGATTGTATCCCAGCCAGGGGACAGGGCCAGAGTGGCACGATTTCCAGCTGGTTTCCTCAAGGGAACTAGAATGCAGGGCCTTCCCAGCTGCTGTACCCACTTCTCCCACAGATGCCTCCCCATCCCTGCACACATCCACAGCCCCCTCTCCTCACCTCCGTCTCCCCACATTCCTGCCCTTCTCACCTATGTCCTCTCCCGCCTACCCCCAACACACCCTCTTTGTCACCTCTAGCCCTGTGGCCTCCTTACCCAACAGAGGACCACATGATGCTGGTAAAAATAGCTCTGTTTGACAGAGTGTGGATGGAGGGAGGGGCAGAGGCAGGAGACAAGGCTGGGCCCCCAGTGCTAGGGAAGGGCCCTTGGGTGGTGTGGGCTCCTGACCCCTCCCTGCTCAGTCACACATTTGCTCAGGTCACTTTAGTCTCGGGTTCTGTCACCCTAAGCATGCACCCAGGACCAGCAGCAGCACAGCGGTATGACAGCTGTCTCAGGTAAGGACCCCAGAAGGCTGACTCCAGCCTTGACCCTCCAGGTAGAGCCCCAACCCTGCCCTTTTAGTCTTAGGATGCCTTGGTCTGTCCTAGGGCAGCCTTGGTGATGCTTCTTTCTTCCATCTTGGTGGTTAGGTGTGTGCCCGGTGTCTCCAGTAGGTGGGAGTCTCTCTGAGTCTCTATGTCTGAGCCACCATGGCATGTGCAGGGCGAGCCGGTGGGCGGCAACGGGTGAGCATGCAGGAACACATGGCCATCGACGTGAGCCCCGGGCCCATCCAGCCCATCCACCTCATTTCTGACTACTTCCCACACTTCTACCCCTTCCTGGAGCCGGTGCTGCGCGCACCAGACCGGCAGGCTGTGCTGGCCCCGGCCATCCACCCTGCACCCCAGCTGCAGCCCAGCCCAGAGCCAGAAGGAGACTCAGATGACAGCAGTGAGTAGGGGGAGCAATGAAGGGGTGCTCCCTAGGACCGGGTCGGGGTGTCTCTAGCACCCATGGCAGAGGCCAGGCAAGTGGCACTGTGCCATGTGGGACAGGTGGGTGCAGGAGTGGGGTGACCATGCCTGCCCCCGCCCGCCCCCTTAGCTGCCCTGGGTACCCTGGAGTTCACACTTCTCTTTGACGCGGACAACAGCACCCTACACTGCACAGCTCACCGAGCCAAGGTGAGGATGGAGGCAGAGTTCCTGGGATGGGACGAGCCACAGGCCTCTCTACATCCACGTTCTGTTTCCAGGGCCTCAAACCGCCAGCCTCGGGCTCTGTGGACACCTATGTCAAAGCCAACTTGCTGCCAGGGGCCAGCAAGGTGAGGGTAAGATCTAGGCCCCCTTAGATGGCAGGGCCAGCTTAGGTACCCACGGGAACTACTTCACCCCTACCCCAAGAACTAAGTCTCAGTTGATAGGATCCAAGAGTCAGGGCAGGAGGCCAGGAGGGGACCTGACCTGCCTGCCTGGATCCAGGCCAGTCAGCTCCGGACTCGCACTGTTCGAGGCACGAGGGGACCTGTCTGGGAGGAGACGCTCACCTATCATGGCTTCACTCGCCAGGATGCTGGACGGAAGACCCTGAGGTGAGGACCAGATTAGCCACCAGTGGGGGGCAAGGGGTGGGGTTTGTATGATCAGGAGTGACCTGGATGGCCACCAGGTTATGCGTATGTGAAGATTCACGGCTGCGGCGCCGGCGGCGAGCACCCCCTTTAGGGGAGCTACGAGTGCCCCTGAGGAAGCTGGTGCCAAACCGAGCCAGGAGCTTTGATATCTGCCTGGAGAAGCGGAGGCTGGTGAGTAGGGCTGGGGCTCAGGCTGGGTCCACAGGGCCAGGATCCGTGTGATGAGAATGAGGGAAGGAACCTGGACAAGATCCACTGAAGTAACTAAGTGCTATGCTTTTTCAGACCAAGAGGCCCAAGAGCCTGGACACAGCCCGCGGCATGTCTCTGTACGAGGAGGTAGGTAGGAAAACTTGACTGAGCAGGTATGGAGACAGACAGGTCTAGATGGCCCGGGCTGGGATCAGGTGTGAGCTGGACAGTGGTCCAGGTCCTTAAAGGCTTGGAGGAATTTGAGTCCATTTCTCTCATAAGTTCTGTGAGTCCTCAAGAACTGGCTGGGCAGGGTGACAGTGACTCTTTTGCTAGGGTAGCCTGGAGATGAGGAACCCTAAGCAGGCCCTGCCGAGTTCTCAGAGGATATGTAGGCAGAGACCCAGGCATCTAGAGGCAGAACCTAAAAGGTGGTGCCCGTGGCCAGAGGTGGAAGGACTGGCCCGGGTAGAAGAATAAGCTGCCAGGATGCTTGTCTGCCTAGTGTCAGTGCTGGGGATACCTCTGGGTGTGCCCGTCAGGAGGCAGTGAAGGTGACCAGTGCTTACTGAACCCCACCTGAGACCCTGCCCAGAAGCCCCACCGCCCAGCAGGAAGGGCGTCTAAAGGCTGGAGGCAGGCTCTCCACCTGCTGCTGTCAACAGAGTGGGTGCCCTGCCTCCTAGTGGAGGCCCAAGTTTCTGCAGCGGCTGATTAGCTAAGCCCAAGCCTTTGAGTCCCTCATAGTGGACATCACTAAGAACCCCCGAAACAGTCACAGACAATCCCAGAGCCTGTGTGCAATTGTGCCCTGGCACACGGAGGCTGCGGCAGAGCACTCCTGTATTACCGAACACCACCAATGATAAGGAAGTTTGGATCTCTGCTGTCAGTTCTACCCTGAAGGTGGGAAAGAAGGCATGATCTCCCAGGCTATCATCCCAGCTGGGGGGCTCCAGTGTCTAAAGAATGTGGCAAAGGACATTCATAACATGGTCTTCCAGGCAGTGTTTGTGGAGGTGGGCTGAAGAGGTAAGAGACCTGTCTCTCCCCGATGACAGCCTCCCAGAGCTACTTCCATTGCATGGGAACAAGCTGGTTAGAAAGCCCCTGGCATGGCTGTGACAAACATCAGTTCCCTTACTTGACCTGACAGAGATGTGAGCAGAAAGCCCTTCCTTTCCTTGGGCTTTGGAGGGTACAGACCTCTGAGTGCCACGGGAAGGTCTCTTCACTGGGTACTGGGAAATTGCTGTTTAGGGAAATAAACTTGACGGCCTGGTTTCTCTATGGCCATTTGTGCTCACACTGGGGCCCAGCCCCTGCAGGTGGGAGCTCCAGACTAGACAGGGTCTGACCGTAGCTTGCATCTGCAGGAGGAGATGGAGGCAGAGGTGTCTGGGGAGGACCGTGGGCGCATCCTACTGTCCCTGTGCTACAGCTCCCAGCGCGGCGGCCTGCTGGTGGGTGTGCTGCGCTGCGCCCACCTGGCCCCCATGGATGCCAATGGCTACTCGGACCCCTTTGTCCGCCTGTGAGTAGAGACAGGCAGGTGGGCATGAAGCGTGAGAGAGAGAACCCTTGGCTCTGCAGGGTTCTAGCTAGCACATCTCTCCCTCCAGTTTCCTGCATCCAAGTTCTGGGAAGAAATCCAAATATAAGACCAGTGTTCGGAGAAAGACCCTGAACCCCGAGTTCAATGAGGTGGGTCACGGCTGGGAGAACCCAGTGAGTGTGGTCTTGATTTAGCAAACCAGGCCCTGCCTGAGGCTGTCTCTAAAGCTGCAAAGGACTCACCTCCCTCTTCCCTGTCCCTTTCCCTACAGGAATTCTTTTATGCAGGTCACCGGGAGGAGTTGGCCCAGAAAGCACTGCTGGTGTCTGTGTGGGACTATGACCTGGGCACTGCTGATGACTTCATCGGTGAGCAGAAACACGGGGTGCTGAGGGGAGCCTCAGGAGCCTCTGCTGGCTACTGAGCCATCCTTCGGCAGGTGGGGTGCAGCTGAGTAGCAGAGCCAGTGGGGAACGCCTTCGCCACTGGCGCGAGTGCCTGGGCCGCAGTGACCGCCGGCTGGAACTGTGGCACCTGCTGGACAGTGTGCCCCCCCAACTTGGCGACTAGCCAGCACAGGGCCTGCTCGCAGCCTGTTCAGGGGCCGAGACATCTGCTGCAGCTGCAGAGTGTAGGTTGGCCCCTACCTACTGTGCCCACTCCTGTCTCCTTTCAGTCACCCCACCCCCAAACACAACGCAAAATAAACATCTGCTTCTGCCAGCCAGGAGCCTGTCCTTTCTCTAGGGACATCTGCCTCTTCTCTGCCCTCACCTCACAGGGCCGAGCAGGCCCATATTCTGTTTCCCATCCCTTAGAGCAGTAGTTCTCGACCTTCCTAATTGTTCGACCCTCCCAAACAGTTCCTCATGGTGTGGTGACCTCCAACTATAAAATCATCGTTGCTACTTCATAACTGTAACTTTGCTACTGTTATGGATCATAATGTAACGAACTGACATGTGACCCCAAAAGGGCCATGACCCACGGGCTGAGAACCACTGCTTTAGAGACTGCATTGGGCCAGGTTCGGGACTGGGGATACAGCTCAGTGGCAGCATGCACACCCGGCATGCACAGGGCCCTGGGATGGATCCCCTAGTGTCACAGAAAGAAAAGTAGGCCATGCCCAGCCTTCACCTCCCTGTCCCATCCTGCTTCTCTCGCCCAGTGAAGAGGAATCCTCCACAGGTGGATGGAGGAGAGTGGGGTGAAAAGCACAGCCACAGACAAGCTGTGATTGAAGAGTGGGCACACTTGTTTATTGTCCGGCTGCCCAAAGGATGTGAAATCACCAGGCCAGGGTACGGGCTCAGGATGCTGACTGCCTGGCCTGGTGCTGCTGTGCGAACCGCTGCATCCGCTCCTCAAGCTCTGGCCGAAAGTGTCGGATCAGACCCTGGGAGAGAGGCAGGCACTGTATGAACCAGAGTTCCAAATTCCCAAAGCTCCGGGCTCTCAATGCCACCCACTTTAGAGTCACACAGCAGGGCAGTGTGTACCTGTACTGGCCAGGCGGCCCCATCACCCAGGGCGCAAATGGTGTGGCCCTCTATCTGCTTGCTGATCTCCCAGAGGGAGTCGATCTCAGCTGGCCGGGCATCCCCCTTCACAAAGCGGGCCATCACTTTGTTCATCCAGTCGACACCTGCAGCAGAACAGCAGAGGGGCCTGAGGCTCCCCCACCAGGGAGGGGCAACAGGAAGGGGAGGTCAAGAACAGCCCAGCAACCAACCCCGGCCTTCCCAGGACGCTCACCCTCACGGCATGGGGTACACTGGCCGCAGCTCTCGTGCTTGTAGAACTCAATGAGTCGAGCGATGGCTTTCACGATGTCTGTCTAGGGGACAAGGAGCAATGCACAGAGACCTCAGCCTCCCACCGCGCCCCTGACCTGGATTCCAGTGTTCCGGCCCCCACTTCCCACGGTACTGGGATCTCAGGCTGCCAGAAGGATTGTGGGGCATGGGGAATGCAATTACCGAGCGATCCATGACAATCACTGCAGCTGTGCCCAGGCCTGTCTGGGCCTGCACCAGCGCATCAAAGTCCATCAGAACCGTCTCACACACAGATTTGGGGATCAGTGGAGTGGATGAGCCACCAGGAATCACAGCAAGGAGGTTGTCCCAGCCACCTGTGACACCACCTGTGACAATTCCCCAAAGAATGATCATAGCTAAGACTGGCACATCTGCTCGGGCTTAAGACAGGACCAGCGTCAGCCCCTGAAGCCAGCCCAGCCGCTGAGGTTTCCCACCGTGCCCTCTCACGGCACCCTGCCCCTCCTGGCTGGCCCCCAGGCTTACCCGCATGCTTCTCAATCAGCTCCTTCAGTGGCACAGACATCTCCTCCTCCACAGTGCAGGGGTGGTTGACATGGCCAGAAATGTTGAACAGTTTGGTACCTGAGTTGCGTTCTCTGCCAAAGCCAGCAAACCAGGTGCCCCCACGACGGCAGATGGTGGGGGACACAGCCACTGTCTCCACGTTGGCCACAGTTGTGGGGCATCCAAACACTCCTTCAAGGAAATGAGAAGAGAGAGGTGACTGGTGGCTTCTCGGGAAAGGGAGCATGGTTCTTTTTTTTTTTTTTTGAGACAAGGTTTCTCTGTGTAGCCTTGGCTGTCCTGGAACTTGCTCTGTAGACCAGGCTGGCCTTGAACTCAGAGATCCTCCTGCTTCTGCCTCCCAAGCGGTAAATTAAAGGCGTGTGCCACCACTGTGTGGCTGGGAATGTTTCTTGCAGTGGGATGTTTTATGTCCTGGTCCCATGGCAGTTCCTGTTCTTGTCTCCTCATCACTCTTGGCCCACACTGCACCCCAGACTCCAGGGAAGCTCATCTCCTGTTCACCACCACTCCTAGCTCCTAGGACAGGTACCGTGAAAGAAAGCCCACTGCCAGGAGGGGACATGGGTCTGTGATGGTGGCACTGGTGGAGCCTGTGTTAGTAACACTGTCCCCTATCAATCTGTCCTCCCCTCCAAAGAGCACAGAGAAATATTGTAAGAAGCACCCAGAGGGCACCTGGTCACATCAAGATCCCACAGAGCAGAGCTAAGGCAAGGCCTCACCCAGGGCCAGGCAGTCTTACCCACATCTGCTGGGAAGGGTGGCTTCAGGCGTGGCTTTCCCTGCTTGCCCTCAATGGACTCAATGAGCGCCGTCTCCTCTCCACAGATGTAGGCCCCAGCCCCGCGCACCACGAACACGTCAAAATCATAGTCAGAGCCACAGGCATTCTTGCCAATCAGACCTGCTTCATAGGCCTCTCGGATAGCTACCTGTGGGACAAGGTGTGAGGTCCCCAGCCCCACCACAGCCCAAGAGTCAGCCTCCAACCCAGGGGCCGTGGAACCCTTGAAGACTTCCTAAATGGACCTTTGGAGCACAAAGGAAGAACTCTGGGGCCAGGTCCTGTTGTTGATGGACTCAGAAATGGACCCCTGCCCCCTGCTGGACCAGAGACTGGAGCTACATCTAAGGATGGCTGTGCCAGGAGAGGGAGCATGTGAGGTGTGCATGCACTGGTGGCCAACACCCATGTGCTCACCTGCAGATTGGAGGCCTCATTGTAGAATTCCCCTCGGATGTAGATGTAGGCAGCCCGGGCGCCCATGGCCCGGCCTCCAACCAGGCAGCCCTCCACCAGCTTATGAGGGTCATGGCGCATGATCTCTCGGTCCTTACAGGTTCCTGGCTCCCCCTCGTCAGCATTCACCACCAGATACTTGGGCCTGTGGGGTCCTGAACATCAGTCAGGCTACAGACCCACCAGCACCCAGCTCTCAATCAAACTCCATTCCTCTTGGACCCAGAGAACCTCAGAAAAGCTGCTCCTCTCTGCCCTACCTGAGGCTCTCTGCTTCACCACCAATGCCAGGGCACTCCCGGCCTAGTCCATCTGTGGCCAGGTATGTCCACAAGCAAAGTCTTTGTTCTCCTTAGTCCTGACATCATCACTCCCTGTGCCTTCTCTTGAGAGTCAGCTCTTGCTCATAAAGACTCTTCTTCAGCCTCCACCACAGCCCTGAGGCCAACAGGAGGTAGAGTGGCTGACTTTAAAAAAAAAGGGCTTTAGGAATATATCCTCAAACTACTGAAAATGTGCACCTATGAAACATGTACATGAAAGTTTACAGCAGTGTGTTGCTAATAGTAAAAAAGTTAAAACAACTCAAATAGCTATCAAATACTGGAGAAAAATAAAATGTGGCTTATTCATACAATAGAATATTATTAAGACATAAAAATGAATGAGAAACTGACAGATTAAATGACTTTGGTGAACCTTCATAATTTCATTTGTAGATCTTTCCATTTCTAATTTATAAATACATTTGGGGTTATAAATTATAAATGTAAAAAATAAATAAATAAATAAATAAAAAAAAAAGGGGGCTGGACATGGTAGTCAACATCTTTAATCCCAGACTCTCAAGTCAGTGGCGGATGGATCTCTGTGAGTTCGAGGACAGTCTGGTCTACAAAGCAAGTTCCAGGAAAGCCAGGGCACACAGAGAAACCCTGTCTTGAAAAAAAAAAATTTTTTTTTTTGTTTATTACATATATTTACTGGTTAGGGGCAGCATGTGAAGCTCAGGGAACAATTTGTGGGACTCGGTTCTCTCTTTCTTCCAAGTGGGTCCTGGAGATGACCTCAGGTCACCAGGCTTGGAGGCAGGCTCCCTTACCTCCTGAACCATTATGCTAGCCTCGTGGCTAACTGTTATAATTTGTATTCTAGGTGTCAACTGAAGTTGCAGGTCAAAAACTGAACCAACAGTATCTTTTTAATTCTTGAATATCATGCTGAGGCACGAAAAAAGAAACTTGAAATTCAAAAGGGCCAGATTCCCCAAAACTTGACAATTACTAAAAGGCAAAGTTGTGATTTGAGTAATAAGGTCTGCCTGAATCAAGTCTTGTATACACTATAATCTCTTGAGTCCCTGCTGAAGAAATCCAGAGATGTCTCGTAAGTTCTGCCTAGAATCAGCCCCAAAGCCCAGCACTTCAGCAGCTCTAGTCTGTCCTACAACCACAGCTCAAGGTACTCCCCACAAACCTGCCATCTGAGGGCTTATTCATGAAGCTCCACTTGAGGCCAGTGGGGAAGCCAGCACCGCCGCGGCCCCGTAAGCCAGATGTCTTGATCTCACCCAAGATCCAGTCAGGCCCTTTCAGCAGGATCTCCTTTGTCTTGTACCAGTCACCCCGACTCTGGGCACCTTTTAGCCTGGACAGAGAAGGAAAGGATGTGAAGGAGAGGCCCTGCTAAGGGACCAGCAGGCTAAGGGCACTGTCTCACCTCCAGTCATGGCGGCCATATAGGTTGGTGAAGATCCGGTCTTCATCCTTCAGCGAGCCAAATGAGGTTTTCTTGGGTGCTGTCTGGGGAGACGGAAGGTCAGGAGGCCCCGCAGAGCTCTGTGGCCATGAGGGGTTGGGGCAGAGGCTTCAAACTCTCTGAAGCATCATAGCTACCTATCATCACTACCAATTCCAACGCTTCCTGTTTAGAAGTTACTGGGCTAAACATTCCATACTTCATCTCAATTCATCCTGGTACCAATCCCAAGACAGGAATGGTTTCCTCCATTCTACAAAGAAGGGATCTGAGGCCCTGAGCGAAAGGAACTTAGGGAAGGTCACAAAGCTAAAAGCAGATGGTCCCTGCGGAGCCCATATCAAACTTCAACTATGGCACCAACACTGGTT